GAAGTAGACAGAACTACCCTTTTCCATATGGATTGCTATCCCCGCCCTTTTTGTAAAGGCCTTGAATCTTTTGTAAGTATTGATTTTGCTTCCAGGCTCTACAGACTTTTTCTTATCCATCTTTTCCTTAACTTTCTTCATCCTCTGTACTTGAAGTCCACCAAAAATCAGTCTCATGAAGAGGTTGGAGTAAACAGCCACGGGATATAAGGCCAGCACTTCTCTAGACTTGTTGTTTTTAAATGAATCCAAATGGTTTAGCTGTTCATCAGTTGGTTGATAGTAGTGGAAATAAAAGTAGCAGCAACAGTAACAGCAACTAGCATTTATGAAGAGCCCACCAGGTGCCAAGCACTGTGAAAGGCACTTAACATATTAATTGGGCCTCACAAGACAGTTTACAGAAAATGACAACTCAGGCCCACATTATTGTTCTTGACTTAGAATTTAGTCACATCCACTCAACCATTTTGCTAACTATGAAATGTTTACATGTCAGTTTTTCAAGAGTTCATTTGAAAGGAATAAAGATTAATACATATTTAAGCATTCAAAGTAGAAAATTTCCATGGCTTTTGATTGATAGAGTACAAGCAAACCAGTAACTCTTTATAGTCATATTCCTGTTTATTTTTCTAGCGTTTTACCTTCCTGTTTGTTTTCCTGTCCACAACAATGAATATTTATTGAAGGTATAATAAGGCTGTGGCACAAAGTTGGCTTTTTATTTTAAGGAGTGTGGAAATGTTCAAAGTAACTGGTTGTTTTCACATTCTAAGGACAACCTTTCAGCCAGCCTCTGGTTCCTGGTATCATTCTAGTGTTAGAATATTTGATGGAACCAGTTTTCATCTGGTAAAAAAACCTGTCATGTCTTTGTGACATGAATAAATTATAGACAACCTAGTTTGCATTTAGGAAATGAGTAATTTACCATAGGGTTCTTTTGGAAATTATACTTTTCTCTGTACTTTGAAGGAAATTGAGAGAGGAAAATGGAAATCTGGTGAACTTGAAGCTGTCCCCATTGGGACAGATGGATGAAGCAAAATGACTTTTTTTTGTTGTTAGGTTGAGCTTTGGTGAAAAGCTGTTGCCCCTGGGGGACTGATATCAGCTTGAGTAATTAACTCATGATTATGCAAAGATAATTTATCTAGCCTCTTTGTTTTTCTTCTTTCTTTTTTATTGCCTTGGGCTACTTCATTTCTTATTACTATCTTTACTGTGTTAATGCTAGGAGAAAGAAAAATGACAGACACAATAAAAGGTTCCCAACTTAATTTGCCCATTTTACTCTCATTAAACATTTTGCTAAAAGAGAAAAGATGTTAAGACAGTTTATTTGGGTAAAAGTTGTTTTCTCTTAAAATTATATATACAAGAATTTTGCAAAACAATTTCCAAGTACAGTTATTTCAGGGGTCATCTGGTTTGAATAAGTCAAATCATACAGTTGTAATCAATCAGAATAATTTATAATAGCTTTCATAACATGAAGTCCTTTCTCATACATTCACATGTGATCCTTATAACAGTGCCTGGTGTGTAGCAAGGATTTTTTAAATACTTAATGAATATTGGATGACTAACAGTTCTGTGAAATAAGCAGTGTTAGCATTTATTAATACTTCTAAAATAAAATTGGGATTTGGTTTTGATTTTTAGCTAATGATCATATAGATACTTATCTTTTTTCCACCACAAGCCCCTTAAGCAAAAAGGAGTTATTAGTAGAGACATTTTCTGTTTTGAACAATAGTTTTGATTTACCACAGGAAGGGTTTTTGTTTTTTTTATTAAACGAGACAGAACGGCTAATGTATATTTTCTGTGCTGACAAGCTTCTTGGGTCTGTCTAACTTTTTATCCATTAATATAGAGATCCTGACTTCTCTCAGGCATGGTAGTATAACACAGAGTCCCAACCAGAAGAAAATCCATGTGAGAAAGCAGTGTTTTGAGAAGCCTAGAAATTGCTGTAAGAAGGCAGTGTTAATAGAGCCCATCTACTATGTTTTTTGCCTTTGCTTTAAAAATTCTAGTTTACCTTTCATCCTAAGGTATTGAAAACAAAAGCTTCTTTTTCTGATAATTTGTTTTAATTTTGAAAATAATTTTTGGTTTAAAGAAGGAAATTAGTAGAATTTCAGTTTATTCAATCATTATTTATTGATCACTTAATGTATGTTGGGTACTACTTAATGTTCTGGGAGTTGGGAATGAAAAAAATAAAAATCCTTTCTTTGAAGAGATTATTTTATAGTAGGAAAACAAATAATGAGTGAATAAGTAACTTTTGTAATATAAGGGTGATAAGTGTTTTTGCTAAGGTGATCAAGGTAAGACTGGGACACTTGAGGTGTTTACCTCCTCTTGTACTAAACTTTGTCTTTTTTTATAGCATATAGATTATCTGACATAGTATATTTTCTTCTGTATTCATCATCTTACCTCCTCCTACCCATGCCCCCAATAGAATAGAAACCGTGTGGAGGCAAGAATATTTTTTATGTTTTGTTTGCTTTTGTATTTCTATGTGACAGAATATCACCTGGGACACAATAAATGCACAATATTGTTTTTGGACTAGTGAAGTGAATGTATTTTATATCAGTTGGTCAGGGTAAGCCTTTGCTGACACCTAAGGAGGGATGGAACTAGAGAGAATATGTGATGTGATGTGATGTGATGTGATGTGATGTGGCTATCTTGAGGAACACAGTTCCAAGCAGAACGCTGATGTAGCTGAGGAAGATTGAACAATGATATCAGAGATGTGAGTCAGGAGGCAGGTTATGAGGGTCTTTGTAGGCCCTTACGAGGACTCTGAGCTTCCAAGGACTAAGAAGGTTGAGCTGTTGAAGTATTTGACTGATCAGAGTAATGTCATTGTAGTTGCTCTGCTGGGAAGAGACCCATGGAAAGCAAAGGCAGAAGTGTGAAAAACAGAGAAGAGGCCATTATAAAATCTAGGCAAGAATTGATACAGCCAGGGTGGTAGCCATGGAGATGAGGTAAAGTGGTCAGATTCTGGGTTTGCATTTTATTGGAAGTAAGGCCAACAGATTCTGTGAATGCATTGGATGTTGGGTGTGAGAGTAAGGTGTTTAGGTGGTGCTATATTGAGGATGGAATTGATCTATAAAAGACTACAGGATCAACTGATTTGAGGGGCAGAAACAGTTCTGGTTAGCTGGGTTGTGATGCTTGACAGATATCTAAGTAGAACTGTCAAATAGATATCGGTGTCAGTCTAGACATATAAATTTGGGAAATGTCAACATATAGATAGTACTTTAAGTCTGGGTTGGAGATAAGATACCTAGGGATCAAGTACAGAAAAAGAAGAGTTCTGGGGACTGGGCCTTTGAGTATTTCATTGATTAATGTTCGAAGATAGAAGAAGACCAGCAAAGCATACTGAGAATGATTGACAAATGAGGGAAAAGGGCAGCCAGTGAAGATTCTCTGGAAGAGTGGGGAAAGTGTGGCAGGGGAGTGATCGCCTGTATTATTGCTGATGGGTTAAGTAGTAAGGATTGAGACCTGAGCACTAGTAAGTGCAGCTTGGAGGTGTCCTTGACAAACAATTTGGGGAAGTGGCAGGGGGTAAATTTTGGTTGAAATGGTTTCAAGAGAAGGGAAAAGGAATTGTAGACAGCAAATAAACAGACATGTCTTTTGAGGATGTTTGCTGTCCAGAAGAGCAGGGATTGTACCAGGAGAGGATATAGGTTAAAGGAAGAATTCTTTAAGGTATAAGAAATTATAATGTGTTTTTATACTAGCAGAAATGATGCAATTAAGGAAAATTAATAAACAGGAGATAGGGAACATTGTAGAGAGCAATATTCTTGAGTAGCATCTTTCTATCCAAAATTGAAAGAGGAGATGCATTGCAAAATAATTAACCAATAGATGGTTATACTTATTAAATGTATGTATTGATCATTTATCAAGGGAGGATTTAGACTGAGATGACTTAATTTTAATACTAACCAGTCTCTTCTAACAGAATGGTAGATGAAGTACCCCACTTCTCTAATACCACTTGAACAGGACATGTAACCAGTACCATGCCTTTTTTTTTTTTTGATGGTTTTGTAGCTTATAATTGTATTTGTTTCTGAAATAATTTTCTGATGATGATAAAAATCAATTATTTCTCAGACACAGAAGAGAAAAATAATTCCACTTCCAAGGGTTTTTTGTTTGTTTCTGTTGGTGTTTTGTTTTGAGACAGGGTCTCACTGTACTTTAGACTGGCCTTGAACTCACTTTGTAGCCCAGGACAACGATCCTCCTGCCTCAGCCTCCCGAGTGCTGGGATTACATGTGTGTGCCCCCATGCCCAGCCACTTTCAAGATTTTTTTCTACTACTCCTCTGAAATGTGTACAGTATACCACTACCACCCCCGCCCAGTCACAGTTCAGAGTTTGCAGCCTCAGTCATTGGAGGATTTTTTTCTTAGAACCTAATGTAATTATACGCAGAAACCCCCACAATTTCACGGAAACCAGAAATATCCTCGATAATTATTTTTTCTTTTTTCTTTTTTTTTTTTGGTGGGAGGTTTGCAAGTAGCCAATTCAAAAGCATTATTCAGTTCTCCTTGCTGCTGATTGCCTGCTGCCGTGTAACCCATCTTCCCAAAATGCACCAGCATTCCTGAAATCATAACAGGTTGCTGTACCACTGTAGCTATCTCTAGTGTTCTAGGTTTTGTTCTAAAAGTCCTAAGATGCCACCAAATGCCCTGCGTCTTCTAAAGCTTCATTGATACAGCATTTTATTAAATTAACATAACCGTGGGAGACATGGTATATTTAGGATTTAAATTATAAAAATAGGGATTTTTTCAGACCGTATCAGAAATTTGCAGTTTTTCACAATTTGAGGGTGCTCTAGGAACATAACCTCCACGAATTTCAGGGATCCACTGAAATATATTGTTATCTTGATTTTGTAATTTTTTTTTTTTTTTTTACTTTTCAGGCTGGAGTGAGACAGCTTTATGTACAGATTGACTTTGCTGCCATGTAGTGAATGAAATTACTGTTTTTGGACCAAGTTCTTCTGGTACTGTACAATCCAAAATATTGTACCCAGCTCTGTAGAGAAATTATCAGAATTCCTAGCATCAAGTAGACCAGGTAGTACTCCGTGGGAAGTTCACAGCCAAGGGATCACAACGAAGAACTTATCTCCTGGGCTTTTGGTCTTGTCTTTTGTGCTCTTCCCCCCAAGCCATTCCTCATTCTGATTTCTGAGGTTTCTGGTTTTGTTCTGGGGTGTTGGCTTGTTCTTTTATGGGGGAGGGAGGGAGGGAGGTTTCATGCCAAATGCCCCATCCTCTCATCCCTGCCAGTGAGAAATTCAGATTGTGAGCCTCCAACCATCTGGAATGTCTTCATCTGAAGCTGCTGGAAATCACTGCTTTTACTCCCACAAAACCAGTGTTATTAAAAAAAAAAAATGGAAATATGTTTTATATATAATGTCACGGTTGTTGGCGTTCTTCAGTGTAATCGTATGTTTGTTAAATTGTTTGTACCTTGCAAACTTATGAACCAAACCATATTGGGTTTTCAAAGTGCCTTTGCATTAGAAAATGTATTTGCCAGCATAGAATTTTACCATCAAAGGTCGTGTATTTTTTTTAAAATGACTATTCTGTAATCTGTACAAAATAAGACACTTGCTAGTATACAGATTGTCTTTTTGTGTACTTCAGCATAGGTGTAAGTATATGAAAAGTTTTTTATTGTTTTATCTCATCAAAGAATGTGTTATCTTTTTAAAACAAATTCAGTAATCACATTAAATTTCTTTGTGAACTATGTTTTCAAAACTTTACAAATGCATTTATTAGTGGGAAAATTGTTTTGACCTAAATTTCTAAATTCCAAATTTCTATAAAAGCTGTGTCTATGATAAATTTTTCTATAGCTCTCCTTGCCATCTTTATACATTTTATTAATGACTGGAAGAGGCATTGTAGACCACAGGCAGAAATGGTTGTGACAGTTATTTTGTGTTTTCATTCTTCAAATGCCAAGTCATACAATGTTTTCCTGTTTAAGCTTTACATGAATACCATTGTTTTCAGGAATCCTGTGGCAGGGTTTGGTTGAGTTTGAACTCTTAAAGGTATGGAACAAATGTGGTGAGGTAGAAACTCTTAACACAGATATCTTAGAAGGAAATAAATATATTTTCTGTGTTCTTATGTATTTGAAAAATAAAATTGCAATTTGAGATGTCAAGTGCTTGAACACTATACTTAAGTATTCCCTGTGTTTTATGAAAAGATATTTATTTGGAGACATATTTTCCCAGTGTTTTTCATTTTACTGTAACATAGATGCCTTTTAAGTTTAAAAAATTGAAATTGTTGAGGAAAAGGCCTTTCAGGGTAAAAATGACTAATTAGAGTATAGATCAATAAAAAGCACTTTTTTAGTAAGGTGGCAAAACTCACTGTTGCTTTTGGCTGAGTTTTAAAGTATATTCTACCACTTCTGTCTTACAGTTTATGAACTATTCTATCTATGTTGGGAAAATGACACCACTTTCTTCATGCTTTTCTAAACTGTAAATTGCCATGAAATGTCCATAGTCTCCTTTTTTTAAAAAAATAAGGAGATATTTTCAAAACTATGTTTGCTTACTTCCTGGGCATTCTAAAACTAAAAATCTGTGCAGTGAATTGTGTTTAACTGTAATAAATGTTGAAGTCTTTTAGGAGGGAAAGTACAAAAGCACATGACCTGATACTGATATTGCTTTTTCATTACAAGTAAGTAGTCATTTGAAAGTTTGAGCCACTACCAAGTCTGATAGAACTTTGGGATATTCCATGAATTTTGGCTTATTATAGAAAACAACAGGTTAGATGAAGGCAGAGATTTTGGATGTGTGCCTTTACAAACTAATTATGTGTAACTGTATTGACATTTCACATATGAACATAATTGTTATGTTCTGTAAAACTTACTAATGCATCTTGAAGACCCAATTCTGCCTTTCACTGAGCCCTCCATTCCAAGTGAAGCTTGCCAAAATAGGTTATCACTTCATTTAGCTCCTCCCTCACTGCACAAATCCATGAATTTTGTTCCTTGACAAGGCATAGAGTGCTTGATGTGACACTAATTTGGCACTTGTTAACAAGAGATTGCCAGGTACGATTCTCTAACAGGTTGGCATTAACATTTGTGCTTTACAGTTTACCTGTGTGTACAACAAAAACAAAAAATTAGTGAGGAAGAGCAATTTTTTTCTCTGTGGAAATACTTTGTCTATCATTGTTCTTGGCACAGATGTATCACTAACATGGATATTTCACTGAGAAACATCGCCTGATAGTGGTTATAAATAAATTCAGAAGTTTCTAAAATTCACCTACCTCTTACAAAACAAAATCTATATCTGAGTATAAATTTGCCAGTATTTGAAAAAACAAAATACCCTTGGAAAAATAATTGTGTTGTTCATGGAAATATACTGTTTTTTAAAAAAAATCCATTATATTACTTAAGTTGATGGGCTTATATATGTGCAACTCACTCACTTTGCTAACTCTGCATACATCTGTGTGAAGAACAGTATCTAGTTATCTGTAGGTTGGTGTTCCTGGTGCCATCATCGGTGCCATCAGTACACAGCAGAGGCATAAGACAGTGGTGACAGATGTCACTGCTTCAGCATTCTTTAAAGCCTACACATTTACACCAGTAACCAAAATACTGCTGACTTTTGTGTACCTCTCTAAAGTAGTCAAATCATTAACTCAAAATGCTACTTGAATAAGTTATCTACTATGGAGTAAGTTTTTACATAACACATAATGGTGGGATTTGTAAGTATTAATTGCTTAACAGAAAACACCTTAGCAAGAACCATGCTTAGAAGCAGTCAGTGCTCTCAGTTTACAGATGAGACAATGGAAGCCCAGAAAAGCTGTTGCTTACTCAAGGTCACAGAGGTAATCAGTCCTCGGCAAAGCCAAAGCTAAAATTCAGCCCCTCTGACTCCACATCAGTACTGTAGTTCTTTACTGTGCTTTCTTTCCAGTGTAATATTCGCCTTTCTGTAAATGTGGATTAAATATTGTTTGTAAATAAAGGACATATGACCTCCATTTTTGGTACATGAAGGCACTTTATAAATGGGATTTTTGTCTCATTTTTCATAACTAATTATGAAGTTTAGATTATTTCATGTTTCTTTAGTATTATTTAAAAATTTTTTTTTAACTTTTTACTCTTGTGAAGCCAGTTCCTGACTTAAACGATAAATAATGACATTTGATTTGTACAATGGATACTTTTAACACATGGGTGAATTTTTTGTTAACTGCCCAAGCTTCATAAGGATTGCTTAGTTTCCTTAATTTTTTATAGTCTGTGAGGTGATACCTTTTAGAAACCAGGCTGATTCACAGGTCCTATCATTTCAGTCTTGCCAGTTTGCTTTTTTATTAGGGGAAGCTTTCTTATTCTTCAAATTCTCAAACCTGTGCAAAAATAGGCATTCAATATTGTATAGAACAAATTTTTTAATTCAGTAAAGTTTGAAGTTTTATCAGAATTCCAGATGCTAAAACACTACTTCCAGCTTTTCAGGCTATTTTCCTTCTTTTTACAATAAGTCACCAATTTTGAAAAATTATTCTCCAACTCACCAGAACCTTGGGAAAAGGGGGAAATTTTTTTATCCTTTGAAAAACATTCATTGAAAGTTTTATTAGTGGGAGATTATTTCAAGATATGATTTCTCCCAGAAGCCTTGATGATTCAGATCTCTACCATAGAATCTTTAGATTCAAAGACAGTGAAGTTTTTTATCAAGTAAGGGTTGGCAGAAAAGTACAATTCTATTTAACAGCTAAATAAGTGGAACTTCTTTCATGAGTGCATTTTTGGTTTATGATTACCCATTTCCTGACTTCAAATTATATATAACCTTTATTAAGTATGTGTCATGGCTTTTTGCACATTACCATATTTAATCTTCACATATGTATTAAAGAATTTTGTAATTTTGCATGATTTTATGATTGACAGTATTTCTGAATATATTTTCTAATTATCATACCATCATACAGGAGGAAGGAATTCTTATTCTCTTGTTAGATCAGTAAGCTATGTGGAAAGAATGTGAAATGATATGCCTGAAGGAGAACTAGCCAGGGTAGGACACTGACTCAAAATCCAGTACTTTTTCGGATGACTATTTTGTATCATTCAGCTTACTCAGTAGAGCATTTGCCTAGTAGGCACAAGGCCCTGGGTTCAACCCCCAGTACCACCAAAGGGGGGGAAAATATTTTCAAGAAGTTCTAATAGTTCTAAACACGCTCTGCTAGAAAACTGTGAACAATTAGCAAAAATTGATACAGGGGTAACAGTTGTTATAATCTATTTACACTCTTTCCTTCTTTCTTTGCACTCTTAGGCTTATTTCCTACCTTTGTCATTGATCTAAAACCATGCAGGGTAAAAAGACTAATCAGAACTCCTTATTCAATAAAACCATTTTTTAAATGTAGAGTTTCATTTGCACTCAGAGTAAGTTGCTTAAGGTACCAGTTCACAACATGGTTGACTGTGTCAGCATGAAAAACTGAGCACCATCTCAGAGAAGTGAACTTTACATTAGTAGGGAATTGTTTTCCAAGAAGTACAAAGAACTTTGTGCTCCAGGTGAAAGGATTAGGATTTGACTTATATTACATTTTATATATACCTTTTCAAAGCAAAGAAATCTATTTCATAAATAAAAATCTAAGGTATACTTTCACAACAGCTTTGAAGATTTAGTATTTGGAATTTTGATCGTGGTGTAAAGGAGAATATCTTTGCCTTGTACATTCCTTTATCCCCAAACATAGCCTGAATTTACCATGACATGCTCACTGAATGTTTGATTAAATAGAGATTATTGTAGGTGGCAGTAGATATAAAAGTAAGGGTTAGGGAATAAGTAAAACCAGTAATTTACTTATTTCAGAAAACACCTCAGCATTTCTTTGGCATTTTTACACAAGTAGGTGAATTTATATTCATTTTGGCTATTTTTTTTCCAAGTAGCCTTTGTGAGCTGCTCATTCTTTCTAATATACAAACAGTGTAAGTATGCTGGTGTTATCTGTTTTGCATATTGTTGGACAGGAATTTGACAGAATTGGGTGTGTGCAATCTGGGTAACTTGAATTTTTGTATTTTGTGTAACCAAATCAGGAATTACATTGTTGTCTCCTTAGTTTTTCTGGAAAATTGCCATATTCATATTACTTTAAGTACCTATGTAGTCTGCTATTTTATCCACAGATATGTTGTCATCCAGAACTCTTTTAGGGGTATTTCTTGAAGGTGCTGCTATAAAAACTCTAATATTACCAGAATATTTCTTACCTTTTTTGTCTTGTTCTCCAAATACTAAATTTTAGTAGGACATTCCTCTATTCACTTATTTTAAAATTTATTTATTTCTTCCATGATAGAACTTCTACTTTATATTAGTAAAAAAAAAAAAAAGGCTTCATTATGAATTTTAGCATTTGAGTTTTATGGGTCATATGTTGTGCATCATCCTTTATGAAGTTTCTACTTTGAACCAGACACATCCTTTAAAGTCTGTCAAGTAATTTCAGTGCTTCCTCAAACAGCAACAACTTGATATTTTTCCCACCTGTGAATTTTCCCCCAACTTTCTCTAGTTTGATAAATAGAATGGGTGTTTTATAGTAGAAATATTCTGAATGGAAAAATGCCAGATCCATTCCTTAGTACATATATTCTAAACAGCCCTACAACACTTTATCTCCTTGCTTTTAATGGTTTTTAAACAAATGATCAAGTTTGGGTTTGGGTTTGATTCCTTTGGTGAGTACTATGGTATCAAAACGTTTCTAAAAATGTTCAAGACTAAATGGGAACATCACAGTGGAGACTGTACACATATGGTTAGAATAGGCTAATGTAGCCACTTAACGGTTTGCCCAGTGTAATACAACAAATCTCTAATGTGTATTTCACTTTTTCTACTTTGCACATTCACATCTGTATTTTAATTTCAGATGTATTTTAAAAGAATCATGAACAACTGTATCAAAATTCTTTTCAATAAAATTTCTCTTTAAAAATATTCTCCTGGATTTTATCTCATCACCTTAATAAATGGAAAAGAATAGTTTAATTAAGTTACTGGAATAGACTGCAGAGGAACAAGAGTTATAAAAGGTAGGAACTATTCTAGGAATATTAAGGAATGAAAGCAAAAGACTGATTCTCAGAGACAGGAAACAGCATGACTCATGAGAGATGTTAGAGGTTAGAAATGTCTACACCAAGCAGAGCCTCCTGTGGCTATTCATCACTTCATCTCATAACCATGTCGCAAAGTATTTCTAGGTATTTCTATTAACTCCAAATTGTTCTTTTACCCTTTCACTCTGTGTGATCTTGTGTTACATGAAATGAAGACTAAAGCATTTGACTTGAGCCTGTGTCTCTTCTAAAATTTCCTTCTAAATCAGAAACAATTCCTTTTTAAAATAACTCCCAGACACCACTGTCTCAAAGATACTTAGCGAAGTAGCCTCTTTACTGTCACTCTTATTGATACTAATGGTTTTATCCAAGCCAGCCATGGTGTTTTATCTAAGCCAGCCATGTACACACCTGTGTTCCCAGCTCAGGAGGCTGAGGCAGGAGTATCACAAATTTGAGATGAGCCTGGATACATAGCAAGACCCTGTCTCAAAAAATTGGGGGAGGACTTTATCCACAGCATGTCTGCTGTTGGACTCCTCATGTGTGTTACATGTGCTTCATATCTCTACAGCTCCTAATCGTTTGGCTTCACATCCTATTTTGTCCAGATGTATAAAGTGCCTCAGGGGCTTCCATGTCTCATCCATGGCAGAAGTACAAGCAACAGCTGGGCATGGCACACCTGTAATCCTAGCACTTGGGTGGCTGAGGTAGGAGGATTGCTTTCTTGAGGCCAGCCTGGGCTACAGAGTGAGTTCAAGGCTAGCATGAACTACATAGCAAGACTCTGCCTCAAAAAACAAAACTACAAGCAACATGTTGAAAGTAAAGAAAAAAAAATTCTTTTCATTCATATCTTCTAAATTTCTGTTCAAATTCTTTACAGAACTCTCAGAAATCTAAACATTGTCTTTGCTACCTCTATTTCCAGAATCCTTTCCCTGATACAAAGTCTCCCTTCCTTTGAACTCTTTTAGTTACCTCTCCCATGCCCACTGCCCTATTGCAGAACCTCATTGATGACTGCAAGCAGAATCACATTTGGGAACTGCCTGCTTCCCATCTATTCCATGCCCAGATTTAAGTCACTTCCACTTCAGACCCACATCACTCCCCACACAAAAACAATTCTGCTTAGCAAGGAGTAAAAGGAATTTCTGCTGAATCTGACTTTTCCCCAGGCCTTTTAAGCAGTTGGTTAGCCTGGCTTCCTGACTGCCTTGTGCAGGCCCTGCTGTGTACTGCACTTTGACTTCTTAGGTCTCCAGCACCTGCCGGGGACTCCTGACATTTCCTTAATTTTTTTGGAATTACCTTCCCGCCCAGTCCGTTTATAGTGGTCTTTAGACACCTCCTCAGAGCAGCAGCTCTCTTTACTCACAGGTTTAGGCAAGTTGTTGACAACACTGCACCAACAAATCACCCTGACAGACTAAGCTTCCCAGTGTCCATTTTCAGACATCCAGCTCAGGACCCTGAGGGAGTCCTTAATGCTTATCAAGTACAACTCCCTCTGAAAAACTGGCAACTCTTAATGCCTTTCTTTGCCTGTTAGTCAGTTGCCTTGATAGGATAATAACCAATCTTTTCATTAGCCTAGACCAGAGAAACAGCAAAAACAGGGGAGCAAACAAATTCAAGAGATTCAGAAGATGTGAACAGGATGGCAGCAGCTTACTACTTTTCATTCTATGGGAAGGAAGGAATAGTACTTTAATGGGATTCTAGCTCATCAAGTACTCTGTTAGCTAATCTAGCCCTGCCTATAAGTTTAAAAAAATCTAATGCCCAGGCTTAGCACATTACAACATTCAAATGTATGTTTCAACTTTATTTGCTAAATTCATATATCCAAGAAGAGTACTAATGAGATAAAACTTGAATGCATAGAGCCTGGCATAGTAGGCACACAAAATTCATTGAAAAAAAATGAATGAACTGTGCTTTTTAATAAGTTTTAATCGTCTTTGAAAAATAGTTCTGTGTGGATTGTTAAAATGAATTATACTCTTTTTGTAAGCCAGCCAGTGCTAAAGCTAAAGGATTGAAAATAAGTCCATACAAAACAAATTTCTTACTGAATTTTGACACAAGTATTTTAAAACCACAGTATTTTAAAAGCAAATGAATTCAGATTCACATACAAGCACTAGTTTGCTTCAAAGCAATTACCACATTCCATGTGGACTTTTGGAAATGTGATAATCACTTCTAAAAATATGAGAATTGTGTGTTAGGCATTACTGGTTTCCCATTCTGTGTAGTAAGCTAGATCATAATGTTGTTCAGCTTCATAGGGCTTATCTGTTCTATTGTTCCCTTTGAGCAATAATTAATACACAGGCCACACTGAATTCTAGACATCAACACAAAAGGTTAACACATTTGCAGTTATATTCATTAGAGCAAGGGATTGCTATTGGTTCCCAAGACTTCCCCCAGGCAATCCCTTCATGGTGGCCAGTTATCTATGGAAACCTATAGAAGCTTCCACTCTAAGAAAGTTCAACATTCTGATTGGTAGAACTGTGGCTTCAAAAGGGTAGTGCACGTGACTCACATGGGTCAGAATGTAGGCCAACTGCAAAAATTGAAATAGCAACCAATGGAGTACAGTATCTAGCACCCCCAAGTTTCTGGCCAAAAGACAAATAGACAAAGGGAGGCCAGAGAATCAGGAAGTAGTGCAGAGATTGGGAAGGGAAGAAGCCCTGGAGAGCAACCTAATAAAATTGTTCATGAACGTGAAGATCTCCCTCAAATCATTAATGCTTGGATGTGACCATACTCAACACAACAAAAAACCTCAAGGACCACACTATCCAACAGAATACTTCCTAAGCTTCAGACAGAGTGGCATAAATCCAAGATATATCTAAAGAGACCTGCACAATAACTGATCTTGGAACCATTGCTCACAGAGGGCAGACTGGTAATTGCATCCTAAACCTCAACACATTGACTGCCTACTACAACTAAAAGTCTGACTTTGCTCTAGAATTTAGACAAGATTCAATCTATAAATAAATTTCAAAATGTCCAAGTTACAATCCAAAATTAGTTGACAAAGTATTGCAAAAATTTCAACTTGGAGAAGAAAGTCAATCAACAAACGCCCAGACTTAGATGATATCAATGTTGGAATTATGTAACAAAAATCTTAAAGCAGCTATTATAAAATGCTAATCTTGCACAAATGTTAAAATAAGAAATAGGAGATATAAAAAAGCAAGTTGGGCCAGGGATTTAGCTCAGTGGTTCCGCTGCCTGCCTCGCAAGCACAAGGTCCTGAGTTCGACCCCCAGTACCAAAAAAAAAAAAAAAAAGCAAATGGAAATATTAGAATAATAACCAAAATTTTCAACATATTAAATGTACTTAGTGGAAGCAGGAGTCAATGAACTTGAAGAGAATAATACAAATTATCCACTCTGTGTAAAACCCAAAACACGAAACAAAATAATAATGAACAAAGCTTAGGGACCTGTGGGACAAGAATTATCTAACATTTCTATTATCAGAGTTCCAACAAGAATATAATTCAAAAAAAAAAATGAAAGAATGCATAGCAACTTCCCAAACTGGGTCACATAAATCAAGAAGCTAAGAAAACCCCAAATAGGATAAACTCATAAAAAACCTATACTATATCAAAGATTTCTAATCAAAACCTCACCAGCTCTTTTGTAGTGATATCAACAAGGTCATTCTTATATTTAAATGGAAAGGCAAACAAGTGAGCAACTGAAACAATTTTGAAAACAGAAGTTAAAAGAATCATACTGTTTTTAAGATTTATCACAAAGCTAAAATAATCAAGACAATGTGGTATTAACAAAGGGAGAGAGACAAAGATCAACAAAACACCAAAAAGATTACAAAAGTAGACACAATTCAATGAAGCAAGAATAGTCATTTTATCAAATAGTGTTGGAGCAATTGGATATCCACAGTACATAAAAGAAAACAAATGAAACGCAACCTAAACTTCACCCTTCATACACAGAACTAAAATTGTATCACAGATAAGTATAAAATGTACAGCTATAAAACTTCTGGTTGAAAACACAGGAGAAGGATTGGAAATATAACTCAATAATAAAGAACCTATCTAGCATACTAGCATACATGAGGTCCTGGGTTCAACCCCTAGCACCATAAAAATGCAAAGTAAATATTAAAGAGCTAAAAACTACTAAACAAATACATGTAGCCTTCAAGTATTTCTCCTTTAACTGCAAAACCCTGGGGTTTCAGGACAGGAGACTGAAAACAATACTGCTCAACCTTTTCCTACTGATGAATAATGCAGTTTTCATTTATACTGAGGTTAAACTGCTTACATGATAAATTTACCAGATTTTGCAAAAAATAAAGATACCTAGTTGAGATTTTAATTTCAAAGAAAAATTTGGTGAGTTCTCTACTACTGCCCTTGGTGGATTTTACAATTTGTCTTGTTTAGTTTTCATCAATTTTAACACGTTCTCACCAGCCTGAACCACCAGTGAGTGGTACATACATGACTGTCCCATTGGGTGGCTTGTACCACTGGTACAAATGGATCTAATCACTTTTATTGGTCTTCTTACTAATAAAATAAAAAGTCACCCATAGGGACAGCCATGCATATACCACTGGTCAAGCCACCTGGCAATGAGAGATAAGAATGTCCCTGTTGTGAACATGTTAGGTATGGTTTACTTTGTATTTATTCTGCTTGGGATTCACTGAGCTTATTCAATCTACATATGTTGAGAGTTTTACCAAGTTGAGGAAGCATCACTTTCTATTCATATTTTTTCTGTCCTATTTTCTTTCTTGGAACTCTGTAATTACATATATGTCAAACTGTTTCACATTGCCCCACACAGCATTCAGGGATTTCCCCCCTCCTTTCTTTTCTTTTTGCTTCCTCAGATTGGACAATCTCTTTATCATCTGTATTCTGATACTATTTGCAATGATTTGATTCTTTTTTATTTTTGCATTTCTTGGCCGAGAGTACTCATTTATACTCATTTATTTAAATCACCTTTCTGTTCATCTATGAACACAGTTCTAACAGCTGCTTCAAAATCCCGATCTACTAATTCTAATATCTAGATTATGATCTCTATTACCCTTTTTAAATCATAAAGACATATCATAATATTTTACTGTCTCTGATTACTGTTGACGTGTTATAGAGACTAATTTTTAATCATACTCTGGCGTGTTAAGCTTTATTCTGAATGGCTAAATGATTACAGGCTTGAATTATTGACTAATCACCTTGATTTTGTGGAGATTTCATTTTATATTACATTAAAGGTTTTGTTCTTAGTTTTGTTTTGTTTTTGGTACCGGAGATCGAACTCGGGTCCTTGCGCTTGCGCAGCAGGTGGCGAAACCACTGAGCTAAATCCCGGGCCCTGTTCTTAGTTTTAATACAAATGTCTAGTCCTGGGCCCAGTCTTTGTTAACCAGTCCATTCTGGCGTTTTGATGGATAGTCCAAATTGTTATAAATCCCTTCTAACATGTCAGAATTCAAACTGGAAAATGTCTTCACTTGGAATAGAGAGCAATTTCTGTTCTGCTTCTTCAGTCTTCCATCTGTGGCTTCCACCAGGGCTTATGGAGTCTTCCCTGCATATGCAGAGTTTAGGAGTTGGCAAAAAGTTTAAGGAGAGACACACAGGTCTGGCATCTTCTTTGGCACCTTGATTTCAAAAATCTCTTACTTCAGTTTCCAAATTTATCCTCTAAAACTTCAAGCCAGTAAGACTGCAACTTCCTCTCAAGGTCAGTTTTCACCAGAAATCTGGGAATGTCTTGAGGGGAAAAGCTGTGTTTGTGTAGTACTCGGCCTGCTTTTGGGGACTCCCTAGTGTCTTTAGATAGTAACTGATTATACTCCTTTCAGAGTTTTTAACTGGGAAGGTTTGTATACTACAAGCTACACTACATTACCAAAGCCAGAAGTTCTTTGTTTTACAATTTTTAAATGTTTGGTTTAATGCCTTAGAAGAAAATAATGTAGGACTGAAAAGTATGTAGTTCTCTCCATTTTTGTGCCCAGCAAACTGAAAATGGGATATTTCAAAATCTTTTATCCCAAAGGAAATAAGTAAAAATAATTTCTAGTTCACTGATAATACTAAGAAGTAGGGAAATTTTTCTTCAATTTTCAACGAATTTACTAAGCAAAAAAGTCAAATTGTTTAGGCCACGGAAATACTCAGAATTGGACTAACTGAACTAGTGTGTAAAAAAGCTATTTTTATTCCAAACTGACAAAAATATTAAACTATGGTCATGAAATATAATAAATAAATGTTATTTAAAACTAGTGAGATTACTCAGGTATATATGATGGCACATTAACTGAATTAAGTGATATGACAAATTTTGATCTATTGTTGCCTTCAATCCAACATTTAAAAATTTTTATTTTGTAGTTAGCACACTTCCCATATCTGGTTGAATGTGGAAAGATGCTATTTAAAACAAAACAGCAATTGTACATGGCCGGCTGAACATGTATAATTAAACAATTATATAGCCTCCAAAATACAGCAGAATAGGAGTCACATTAAGTAGGCTGTCAGCTAACCAATACAATCAATTCAGAAGGATGTCATTTTGAAGCTTGTACTTGCTTGAGCTTTAAGGTAAGCAGGTAGGGTAGGGTGGAAATGTATTCTTCTCATTTCTGTTTCTAAGTCCCAGTACCAGCTCTGTCGGGAAAACTCACCTTGTAGTTAGGACAGCTGACTTTTTATGGAAGAAGAAAGTTATAAAAACAACATATGAATGGTTACCAGTCTTTCATTCACTTTTGTGGCCACTGCTACATTTCTTAACCTTTAGAAGTAGGACTTAGGTGATTCACATTGTAGTTACCTCTAAGTTATACCCTGTACCAATCACCTTGTATTAACTGATTTCCTAAATAAAAATTGCTTTTACAAGTGCAAGGACCTGAGTTTGATCCCTGGTACCACAAAAAAAAAAAAAAAATTGCTTTTAAATGATTCTGTCTGTGGACATCTACCCACAAGGTTTCCAGCTTGGTCTGTTATATGCATGAACATCCTGAAAAGTTGCCAAAACAACACAACTGATGATATCATAGGGAAAAAAACTTATTGTTGCAGGAAACCAAGCATTGTTGAGCCAACTCCTTTCTTTTTGGTCACTTATTATTACTACTTTTACACAAACCAAAAAGACCTCTTTCATATGTCATACAAATAAGTGTACATTTATATCTGACTGAAATTAATGTTTGACCCCAGAAAATGTCCATGTTCAGAGTCCATCAATGCTGTTCTGGTATGGAAAACAGACTTAGCATTTCCATCTCCAGTGGATGCATGCTGCCTCCTGTGATAATCAGGGAATGCAGTGGTCCTCCCAAGTCCACAGTACACATCTGCTGTAAAGTGCCTGCTGCAATTTTCTGGTCCTCAGCTCCAACCCTGGCTAAGCCAACACAGAGTGTCTCCTCAGTGACTGCTATTAAAAAAAAAAAAAAAAGATTACAGCCATTCAATTCATCAAATGCAATATCTGTTCAATATTCAAAAACATTAGTACCGGGGCCAGGGATTTAGCTCAGTGGTTTCACCACCTGCTGTGCAAGCTCAAGGACCTGAGTTCGATCCCCAGTACCAAAAAAAAAAAAAAAAAATTAGTACCATAAATTTGTTTCTGAAAGTACCAAATATCTTTTTTCTTTGCTTTTTTTGAGACAGGGTCTCGCTATGTAGTTTAGGCTGGTCCTGAACTATGTAGCCCAAGCTAACCTCAAACTCATACTGATCCTCCTGCCTCAGCCTCCTAAGTGCTGGAATTACAGGTGTGTGCTACCACACCTGACAAAACCCTCAAATATCTTTAAATTCTTTAGTCACTCACTACAGACCAATTACTTTATCCTTTAAAAATTCCAAAGGCTTACATGAATCTAGGTTTTTAAGGGCCTGATAAACAACAGCTATATCCAAAGTCCTTACAACTGCATTGTATTTGTCTTATAACATACTTATATTTTTAATAAATTCTTGAAGCTGGGCATGGTGGAACATGCTTGTAATCCTAGGACTCAGGAGGCTAAGGCAGGAGGATCACTGTGAGTGCAAGGTCACCTTGAACTACATAGTGAGACCCTGTCTCAAAAATCCAAAATAAATAAATACATAAATTAAAACTTTTTTGAGATATGTTTAGGTCAACCAAGATATTCTCAAAAAACCATGGGCCTATGGGATAAATACATGGATTTGAGTTTATGCTTGCCCACGAAATTAGCTATGTGTCAAACTTTAGTTTTCTCATTTAAAAAATATAATACTATCTCTCTGAAGTGGTAATTATGAGAACTAAGATAATGTGTACAAGACTATTTAGTAACCTATAGAGCCCTTAACAAAAATAGGCATTTTGACATTACTTATGCTTTTAATTTCAGTAAAATTTACTCTGGTTCTACAGCTGAAAGGCTGCTCTTTTAACTGGTTTTACTGTTTTTTTTCTTTTTTAAAGTTTATTTGAAAAAGTAAAAGTGAAGAATGAGGGAGAAACTGGCTCTGCAGAGCAAGCCTGGACTGAGTAAAAGAGTTTGAAAACGCGAGATAAAAGAACACCCTGGAGAAAGCAGGTGGGCTTTCGTGTAGAAAGTCACGATAGCCAGTTTTACTGTTTATTTGGGAAAATTGTCAAGATTGAACAGTGATCAAAATGGAGCAATAAGCTACTCAGTATGCTAAGGCAAGAGAAATACATGGTCGAGGCCAGCCTGGCAACTTGGTGAGTCTGTCTCAAAATAAAAAATAAAAGGGCTGGGGATATAGCACAATGGTACAGCAACGCTGAGTTCAGTCCCCAGTACCGCCCCCAACAATGATCTACACGAGAAAAAGTAGACATGCAAGGAACTCCACAAAGTTCTGAACACAGAAAATCCTTGCAGACTATGTGTTTCACAAATTTAATGAGGTCTGCTGATGAGAATAAAATATGCAATAATCACTCAGAAATCTCTTAATGTGTCTTCTCTGTCAGAGGATAGATAGGTACTCAAAGGCAGTCAGCACCTTCTAACAGACTATGACAGGATTAAGAACTTCTCAATAAAAATTTACTGAGATCACACCTTTATGTGTGTAAAATCTATGTCTGTCAGCAATATAAGAATAAGTTCTCTTGTCTTTACCCTGAAGTAGAATAAGTATATTTTTGCAGGACATATTTCACCATTGATTAGGGCTAAAATGGAAGTTCTCTTTTATCAAAATATATATATATTAACATTTATATCAAATGTGACTATAGTTCATCAGTAAGAAAGCTTTATTTTCTTTTTTTTTCTTTTTTGGTTTTTTTGAGGCAGGGTCTCCCTTTGTAGTTTGGGCTGGCCTTGAACTCACTATGTAGCCCAGGCTGGCCTTGAATTCACGGTGATCCTCCTGCCTCAGCATCCCGAGTGCTGGGATTACAGTGCGCCACCATGCCTGGCTTAAAAAGCTTTATTTTCTATAATTGTGTTAATTTTACTGTAAAGTACTCCAATATTTTTCTTTCTGTACAACTTGAAACCTATGAGATTCAAGTTAAATTTGGAAAAAAATGAAAAGAAATATAGTACAAAGCAAAAGCACTTAGTCTTGCTTCAATGGTGGTATATGTGTGTGTGTGTGTGTGTGTGTGTGTGTGTGTGTGCATCAGATATTAAATCATACACCCTTCTCAGCATAGCCATTAGGGAATATTATGAGGGCCCTCAGAGGGTCGTGAGTACCTGGTTCTTCTCCTCCTTCTCTTCGATTTTGGACAATTTCCAGAAGCTGCTGGGCTGCTTGGTTTACACTCATATACCGAGGCGGTTCATAGATCTTCCTTCCCCTGTAAGTATTAAGCTAGATGCTGTCATTCTTAGTCATGAAATTACACAACACACTCTTAATGCAATTACTCCCTCAGGTATACTCAAGCAGCACAGCCTACATTCTATCTGAAGTTTTCACATGACAGCCCCCATATACCAAAACATGAGTACAGTGATAGATAAGTTTCTTAAACATTTTTTACATTATTCTACTTTAACTGTCCTCTAATATCACAGAAATGATGGCAGAAATAAAACTCCAAAAACTAAGGATAGATGTCTATATCAAAATTAATGTTTATTCAAAGGGATGGCTCAGGCAAAAAAAAAAACTTTGAGTCAGTATCAAGTTGGTCTATGCCCTAGCTTAGGTTCTATAGTGTTAATTCTTTTTTAAAAAAATTTTTTATTTTTTGTGATGGTCAGGATCAAATACAGGGCCATGCATATGGTAAGCATCTTTTATTAACATGTTTAAACTACTTATTCCTTTTTTCACTTCTGCCTCTAAAAAAAGGAAAATAAAGCAGTAAAGATCTGAAAAGTCTTGGATAGTGATATACGTTACTTCTGAATGCCTCAAAAACATACCAATTTTACCCAGTGGTCATAACAATAAAAATGTAAACTTTTGCAAGTTATAAAACAGTTCGTATCAATTATTTTACAGAGTCACAAAACTATTCTTTAAGTTAGTGCTATCTAATAAAAACTCTCTCTATATTGGAAATTTTACAGGCCACAATACAATTTCAAATTCTCCAGTGACCACATTAAAAGATTTCAAACTGACAAAATTAATTTTATTAATACACTCTGTTTAAACTAATATATCTAAAACATTATATTTTAATATTTACTCACACAAAAATTAACAAAGCGTGCATGGCAGAGGAGCATGGCATGGCTTATATTTAGGTGTCCCTCTGCCATGCTCCTCTGCAATGCCAGCCGACTTAGACTGAAATCTCTACAATTGTAAGCTAAAATAAACTCCTTCTTTAACTTAGGATGTCAAGTATTTTGTCTCAGCAATGAGAAAGTAAGACAATTAGATACACAACACTGTTGTCAGTGTTGAATCTATGAAATCTACTGATATTTCCACTTGATCACACTTCTTATCATTTTAGAAGAATGTGTTTAATAAAAGCTAATTTTTCAATGATCTTTAGAACCCATATCATTTAAGTAGAATTTATTGCCTTGCTCAAGGAATTAAAAGAGATGTAAACATTCTCAGAATAAGAACTTACTTCATTAGATTTTCCAAAGATTGCTCCTTTACTTTGATGTCTGCAGGAAGTAAAAAATAATTCTTTTAATTTAACTAATCCCTTAAATTTCAGTTAGGAGTCATCTCAATTTTTGGAAAACATTCTTCCCAAGTTCCTAAAATGCTGATCTGAGAGTTTATAAAGTCTCTCTACACTTATTATATGTAGCCACTCTCTTATGGAAATTAGAGAAGAATGGAAGCTTGTGGTTGTATAAAGGACACTAGTTAAAAAACAAACATGAACTTGGCTCAGAGACCATCCTGCAGGAATCTAACTTCCTAATAGAAAAGAAGACAAAGAAAAAAAATCAGATAAATACTGGCACATATACTTACCCGACAGCTAACTACATTTGTTTTTATTGCTACTAGCTTGTAACTGCTTGTACTCAACTGAAGTCTTGCTATATTCCTATTTTTATCAACTTTGCTGGCATCAGAATCAAAAAGCTTCAATGGACATAATGCATTTTGAAAAGAAACTGCTTTCTTATAGAAGGTAAGAAATACCATAATTTTGAATAAATCCTGTAATACCAAGTGCTCCTACGTTTAACAAGGCTTTCCGAGCACTGCTATGTGTCAGACACTGTGCCAGGAACTGAACTACCATAGGGAAGTCCTCTGCTTTCTCAAAGCTTAATGGGCCATTCATTGCAAATACTTGATTCTTTACACTTTTTAATCACTGGTGCCCAGTCGAATTATTTGGTAAAAGGCAAAAAAGCAGAATCACTGTACATCCTCACAGGAACTCTGGCATACAACAGTAAGAGCAACAGCTGCTTCCTGTTTGACATGCCAAAACAAATGGTTCAACCAAAGTTTGTTTTTACAAAAATAAATATAGCACAACTAAGGAGTCTCTTGATGGACTTCTATAACTTTCTTAAGCGATTAAAATTTTTCTCATAAAGGATACTGAAGAGTTTACTTAGGATAGGATATATAGCATGTATACACACAAATATAGTTTTAAGTGTTCCTAAAACCAGTGTTGAAATATTTTTCAAGTTTGAAATATCATTAATAATTGAACATTTCCACTTGCTGGCACATATGGAAAAACGAAAAACAAATACTTCTTCTAACCTCCCATAAAATTAATGGTATATGTCAACTTTTAGATTTCCTTTAAATGCTATTTGTAAGATTTTTAAAAGTTCAAAATATTAGTTCATTCACCCTGAGCTTCTGAAATATTATTTTGATAGTAAATCTTTCATATTTTCTTTTTTTTTTTTTTTTACTTTTTTAATGATATGCTTTATAGAATGTGATTTTTCGCCCCCACTAGTGGGGATTGAACCAGGAGCCTTCACACTGATCTACATTTTATTTTTTATTTTGCGACAGGGTCTCACTAAATCACTAAGTTGATCAAGCTGGGCTCAAATTTGCAATCTTCTTGCCTCAGCTTTCCAGAATGCTGCTATTACAGGTGCATACAACCACACCTAAGTAAGAATATGATCTTTGAAATGAAGAGAGTTGAGAGAATATTTCCAGGCAAGTGTTTAGTTTAATATAAGGTTGCATTAGTGAATTAGTCTTAAGCTAGAAGAGTTTTATTACTTTGTCTTTGAATTACCACAAGCCATTTTTCTCTATGCCTTCTTGCTAGATTGAAAGCTTCTCCTCCTACTCATCTTAATACCAGGTCCTAGCATAATATAGTATCCAGTAGATACCACATAAGTGTCTCCTGAATAAACTTACCACATAACTCTCCTACCACCCACTCACCAGCTCATCTTAAATTATCTACTCTATAAGCAACATTAAGTTGCAATTCCTTCATAAAGTCTTTGTTGACTTCTCTAATGTTTTTTGTTCATGAAAATATTTATACAACTAATGTTATCTTTTACTAACCTCTAGTTACATCACATATATTGATCTTATCTCTCTAAATAAATTTTAGATTCCCTGTGGTTTCCTACTGTGGTTTACAGTTTACTCTTTCTCATCCCTAGTGGCTTTGGCCCATAGCTAACATTCAATAAATACTAATTTAAATGATGAGAAAGCCAGATGATTAAATGATGAGATCTATGGATGAAGAGCTTGGAATCATGACATACTATACTTCACACCTTGTTCTTGCTTTTGTTGATGGAGTAAGGAAGATACATTGTTTAACTTTGTCTCTTCCCAGGAAAGCTAAGAAAAGAGACGGCTCTTACAGAAATCAAAAGCTGAAGTTCTGGTTTGTCCTTCCTGTCCCTCCGCACAACAGAACTTAACTGTTCTTTAAACTTCCATGTGTATAATGCATTAGTTGAAAACCAGATTTTAAAACTTCCTTAGTATTTCAAAAGAAAATAATTCTACACTGGGCATGGAGTAAGCACTCCATAAATACCTGAAAACTGATTTTCTACTTGCCTTTCAAAGCTTTCCAAAAGATAAATACTACTTGCTCTGCTTCCCCTTGTTTTTAACAGATATATGGGAGGTTATCAGATAACCCACTTCTTATACTCTTCTCTCCCTATTCTGTCTTAAAAACTCTCAGTCTTATTATAAAACTCACATTTACTCTAATAACTGAGCTCCTACGGGTCCCTATTTTTTAACCCGCAATTAAATATATTCTACTTCTGCCGTTAACAAAAGTCCCTTTAACAGCTGTCCCTCCCCCATCACTCACTCTACTGTGAGCTTCAACCCACTGTTGGCTTTAGTTGGACCTAACGCCCTTACTATTAAGACAGATATATCTCATGACATGGGCCACACCAATTAGTAAGTGCTTTATAGTGTTCTTGTTAGTAAGGACTACAAAAAAGATCAGTCTCTTTTCACGTGCAAAATCCAAGGACAAAGCTAGAAAACTAATTAATTAATTACTAGTGAAGCAGTAAATTTCATTCACAATAAATTAAGAAAACATATGCTAATTGTGGAATATAGGAATAAACCAAAAAAAAAAAATGTTAGAAAACTATTCATGGTCTGAACCAGATTTAGAATTAATTTTCAACATAAACAAAGTAATGTATTATTCTTGCTACAACTGAATGAACTTGCAAATGTTAAAGATTTTTTTTGTGCCAATGTGTAATAAGACCAAGTATGAGAAAATTTAAAAAACTTTAACCAATTAACTTCCATATTTATCAAACAGCTATACTGCCAGACTTCTGGAAGAAAGAAATCACAAGCAAAGTCCCTGCTCGTATGAAGCAAGGAAGAAATCAACCAAGCTAATAAGATGTGACAGTTTATCATGACTGTCAACTTAATTGGCTTGAAACACAGCCAGGAGATTAGCAAAGCACACTAATCTCCTGGGTGGTCACGGAGTTTTCACCCTGCAGAGTGTACATGGTCCTTGGCCTCTTCCTCCCTGGCTCTGTCTAATTTGCTGTGCTTCCTGCCTGCCATGAGTTGAGTAACTTTCCTCCACCATGCTCTTCTGCCTTGGAGCTAGCTAACCATGAACTAAACCTCTGAAACCATGATCCAAAATAAAACGCTTTTTTTTCTTTAAGTTGCAGGTGTCAGGTATTTTATCCCAGCAGTAGGAAAACTGACCAATATGGAAAATAACTCAGATCAGTGGTGAGATTATGAAAAAAAACAGGGTAATGAAAAGAGAGTCAATGAGGAACAGAGGCTCAGTATATAAGATTAGATAAAATTTTACTCTACATCAGGAGTTGGTAATAGTTGGAACAGATAATAAGTATCTTAGGTTCTGAGCACCACAAAGTCTCTTTTACATTTATTGTTCACTGCCACAGACAATACATAAATGAATGTGGCAATGTTCCAACAAAACCTTCTTTACAAAACAAATAGCAGGCCAGAACTGATGCAAGGGCACTAGTTGTCTGAGTTGTGTGCTAGATGCTAATTTCCAATTTATACCCCATAAGAAATGCCAACCATTAGTAAAGGTGAGTTATAATCTTTTTTATTAAGACACAGTGATGGGGTTTCGTACTGACTAGGTTATACAAAATTATATATTATTAAATAACAGAGAAGTAACTGTACTGTACGTATATTCTGAATTCTGGATTACTGTAGAGGCCATAATCATGCGTTTATCCTCTGCCCTGATCCTGTGCAATGTGGCAGATATTCCTGTGGGTGGCTTCACTTACAGGGTCACTAAAATAGTACTATTCAAAGCATGTTCTCAGGACCAATGTCTGAGGACTTTTTATGATCAGTAAATGATGAAGTAAGTATACAAGTGAGAATAAGTACTTACAAACATTTATAGTAATTTAACACTGATACAAAAGAATAGAAATCTAAAAACCAATTTAAATACAACAGCCTTGGATCTTTACCACAGTAGTTTGAAAAGTACTGCTCTAAACAAACCCATAGGGCAGGAAGAATTATTCCATATTCTATAAATATGAAGACAAAGGCTAAGGTGTGTCCTATAGCATTCTCTAGCTAGTAAGTAGAAGTGCTGAGATTTTATCTTCTGGTTCCAACTATAAGTATCATTTCAAAGTTATTAAAGATGTCAGTTAGCTGTGTTCTATTCATCAATCAGTGACACCAGTATTTCTTTCTACAACATATGCTATTAGAATAGGGACTAAAAATATGAATCAGTACAATTTCAGGGCCTCTGCTAGAAGACAAAGCCTTTTTTCCTTTTGAAACTCAGTACCATTATTTAGCTATCCAGAGGGAGTAAGTAATCCTAGCTCTTTCTACAGCAAACAGAAAATAAGATTTGAGCAGTAACATACAGTGAAAAGAGCTGTGAATAACAGGTTATTTGGATTCTATCAGTTCTGCCACCAATTAGCTGGGAAGTAATGGGAAAATTATTTGGCATTTTTGGCCTCAAGTTCATCAGTTTCACAGATGAAAATGATCTCTAGAATCTTTTTTAGTTGTTTCATTCTGTAATTCTGACAGCAACAATACTGCACTATTTATAGAACATCCTAGCTGCAGCACTCATGCCATAGTTTTGCCACCACCGTCCTAGAAAATGAAAGACAAAGGGAGGTGAGAATAAATGCTCAATAAAAGTCTGTTGAACTGCAGTAAATTGACAAGAGGGCCTTATGAACAGATGAGTATGAATGTTGGAGAGAATGTGCAGGTCACAAAGGGAAGCAGCATGGACTATGCCACAAATGGAGGAATAGTCATGTCATAGAGCCAGTCTTCCTCTAAGTATAGGAAAGATGTGACGTGCATAGAATGGCTAGACTATGTCCCTTTACATCTAGCTAATTACCCGTAAAACAATTTCTACCTTAACACAAAATTTAAAAAGAAAAATATCTGACAATTCCATTGCGACTTTAAGGATACTCCAAAATTCTTACCTAGTAAGCATAAAGTATGCATGCCATTTTGTCTGTTCTTTTCTGCTTTGTCAAAGAAGCTCTCTGGTCTCCAAGTGTCTGTCCAAAACACAATAGAGACTGTCTCTCCAAAGTTATACAGCTAGAAAAAAATTTTAAAAATTCATTAATGATAAAACAACTCATTACTATTTCGCAGATACAGAATTTAAACTCTTTACAACTATAATAAAAAGTCACTTGAAAAGGCCAGGGATCCAGTCTATAACAAATAAAAGGTAATAAGTTCACAAGAGCTGGTGTCTTTATGATGTCCCTTTCAATAATACGTTTTTAGTAGTTCTGCATTCAGTATAGGAACATGTAACCAATTTACAATTTAGCTATGTAGCTACTAAAACTATTGAGATACAAAGAATATAGAAGAAAAAAAAGACTGTTGAGCACTCAGAGGTGTCACAAAATTAATATTACTATTCTCATTTTATAGATAAGATCATCATGGCTTAGAAAGATCAAATGACTTACCTAAGGTAATCAATAATAAAAAAGAAATGCTTAAACTTAGGTTTGAGGGAATGTTCTTTTCCATTATATTACCTCAGTAAAATTCACATTACAAACTCCAGCTACTGCTCAAAATCTGTATCTCCTTATTTTAGCACGATTCTTGGGCTGAGGATTTAGCTCAGCAGCACAGCACCTGCCTGGCAAGCGTGAGGTACTGAGTTTGATCTCTGATCCCCAGTGCCAAAAAAAAGAAAGAAAAAGAAAAAGATCCTATTAGTTCCCACATGATAAAGGATGAAGACATTTTCCCAAATCTTTTCCTTTCTGCCTCACAGGCCCACCTTACTTCACCATCATTACAACCAAGAAGCTTGCTTCTCTGCTCCAGGCTGGCTATGCCAGTTCTCTTAAGTGAGTCCAACTCCAGATCTAATGCTGAGAAATCAGTTGGTTTTTTTTAAACTCTGGCTCTGCAACTTGTTAGTTGTGTGACATTAGTCTACAATATCTGATCCAAAAATACATGGTGTTTAAAAAAATGTATTACAGTTAAAGACACATTGCCATTAATTCTCCCAAGATATACCCCCTTCTTTAGAACATAATTATCCCATCATTTTTGCCACTTTGTGAAGCAGTTCTGGAAGTCCTCTCTCATGTCTTTATGAGATGTGATCAAAAATATAGGGAATGCTGTGCCATGTGCTATCCAATGGAAAAGCAGCCTCGTAAAAATATTACAGCATTGGGCTGGGGATTTAGCTCAGTGGTTCTGGCGCCTGCTAAAAGCACAAGGTCCCAAGTTCAATCCCTGGTACCAAAAAAAAAAAAAAAAAAATTACAGCATGTCTTCATGCACCTTATTCATTGGATCTGGCACCATGTGACTTCTGGCTCTTCCCCAAAGTCAAAATGACCATGAAAGGTAAATATTTTGAATCAACTCAGAAAAGGCAGCCACAACAGTACACTAAAGACACCCAGAAAAGATTTCCAGAACTGCTTTAGAATATGGTGAGAATGATGGAACAAGTGTGTTCAAAGCAAGAGGAACTATTCTGAGGGGTATTAATGGCAATGTGTCTTTTACTGCATAATTTTTAAAATTTAAATATTCAGTGCATTTTGTGATCACATCTTATATGTCACTAAAGTAGAAACAGTGATAAAACACTGTTCTTCTAACATCTAAAGGTTGTAAGGATCAAATTGCATTAAAAAGTCAAATAGTGAAGTGATATCCTAATTATAGTTCACATCTAGGCAATGTGCAAGGGAGACTTATTTTCATAGACAAGTACAAATAATATTAAAGTTGTTATGCAAAGATTTAATTCTTGGCCTGGGGATGTGCTCAGTGGAAGAGTGCTTACCTTGCCTGTGTGAGTCCTTGGGTTTGACCCCCGGTACCAAAAAGTGAATAAAAAAAAATATATATATTTGATTTTTCAATTTAAACAATGTTTGAAAGAATTTATAATAGACCTAGAAAATTCTAGACATTGAAAATCACACCTAGTCCTCTGTCACAAATTAAACATGTACCTGAAATAGCTATAGGACTTTAGAAAGTCACTTAGCTTTTTAAGCTTTGTGTTCTTAATTTCAAAAAAGAAATTGGTCAAGGCAGAGACCAGTCATCCTTCATTTCCAGTAAGTAGCCTGAGGCTTCTCAGATCAGTTTCAGAGTCTGCTGCAAGAGGTGATGGGGAAGCAGATAGAAGGAAACAAGAGAAGGTGGGGCATGCAGGGCTGTTCACCCCACGTCCCCTGAGAAGCTTGACAGGCCTCAGGGTTTTATATTTTGAGGTCTTGAAAACTACATTGATACTCCTATTGGTGACTTTGAATTCAAAAGGGAAGGTTCATTATGTTCCACACAGGCCACAGCCTCCATCTCACCTATCAAGGGGCTTTATTCCTAATGTCCATTTGAAAGCTATTCACTCAGAAAAGCCATGTTATTCAGTAGCAGTCCTGTTCAAAGAAGTGGACAATACCCATATAACTTCAAGTATTCAGAGTCATGTATCTGCCTGCCACATTGTAACAAGATTTTTTTGCAAAACATGTATTTTGAATTCCACTGTGGAATCATCTACTATGTGCCAGGTACCATGCTAGACACCAGTTTAAAGTAACAAGCCAAACAGAGCTCTAGCCCTTACGGAATACCCAGATACCTGATCCAGCAGGCAAAGGCTCTAGAATCATGGCACTGGTTCATACTAGCTGGGTGATTGTGGACAGGCCAAGTAACCTCCCTGAACTGGAGGAATTCTCCTGCAAATGAATACAGTAACTATAAACCTAACAGATTTTAAGGGTTAAATAATGAAACGTATATTGAGTGCCTACTAGTGCCTTGCACTTTATAAAGGCTGACAGGTATTTGATGGTGTAATAGTGATTTTATAATGATGATATAAAGATGTTCTAAAATGCTGTGCCCTGATATAACTCAACTGCTTTCTTTATTGGAGTGAGCTAGAAAATATTACCAGATATTTGAAACTACACTTATGATTTCATTCTGACACATTTAACTATATGGATGCTTAAAAAAAAGGATTTTTTCACCCCTCTGATCAAATTCTGTAATACTAAGATTATATTATTTCATAAATACTCCATGGGAAAACCATTAAAATTATATGTGCAATTACATATAAATACTTTAAATGGGTCTTATATATTTTAAGAGTCATGGAAACAGTCATGAAATAAAATAACTAAGCTCATCATTCAAAAAGAAAGTGACAAATCCTTTAAAAAAGAATTGTGATGCAAGTCACATAGGAGCACTAACTAAAGCATTCTGTGTAAAAGCATCTTTGAATTATCTAATTTAGGGGATTAATGAAAACCTCACATAAGGACTGCTTTCTAGGACCCTGATTTATAAACTCTAACCACTCCTGCAGCTATGATACAAATGCTTCAATGAAGCCTGGAACATTATGCAAACATTTCACCATTTAGATGTCAGTACAGAAGTTCAAGCAAGAGAAGGACCAGTTCTTTGTGTTTCACAATCAAGTGCTTACAGTAATCTATAAAAAGAAACTGGAGGAAAACTGTAGTGATGAGAATTGAGGTTGCAGAAGCCTAAATACTGAGTTGCCTTCTAATGTAAGCCTTTGTGTTATGACCATTTTCCCCAAAACATTATTGTCGCAAATTTAAAGCTAAAGACCACAAAATCAGCTGTTCCCTAAGAAACAGTAGGTAGAGACAGGCCTTTTAAATTTTAACTTGGAGTAACTTAGAAAGAAAGCAGTTTATTCAACTTGACATTTGGCTTATGTATTATCTATTAAAGAAAAAAAAACACTAATGAAAAAACTCTCGACTCAAAACCATCTTGTCATTACATATGAAGTTATTGCCAGTCAGAATGAAAAGATACATAAGAAAAACAAATACTACTACATTGTAAATAATAATTATTAAATTATGAGAGTCCACATTTCCCTCACTTAAAGACTTCTGAAAAGACAAGATATGACCTAGACCTTAATTAAAGGACAGTTAAGATTTATGGCAGAGAAGCTGTGGATAGGGGAAGAATAAGAAAATATGAACTCAGTAACAGGATGGCATTAAGCAATTATCTAGAAATAGCTAATATATCTGACTTGCCTCTAATCTGTACCTCTAAATCCTGACATTTTATGAAGTGCCAATTCCTGCTAATCCCAGACATACAGTTTATACAGAAGCTGACGATTCATTTCAGTCCCTGCTACCCTGTTTGCCTGTGTGACCTTAATAGTTTAAAAGTCTCCTAATTCATCTCACTGCCACTAATATTTCCTGTCTTTCACATGCTTTGTAAATCTCCACTTTATAATCAGGCTTTAATCCTTTTGTTATTTTGAATTACAAATAAAAATATTTGTATGATTTTTAAGCTTAAAATCTGCTATATTAAGAACTATATACATGGAAAAATTAGAAAATTTAACTTTTAAAGAAATCTACTAGGTTCCACATATATTTCATACATATGTATATCTCAAATCAATTAAATCTGAGGGGTGAGGGAACGCCAAGCCAGCAGAACTGTCAAAACATGCACCACAAAACCACTTAGCTGAGAGTGACTAGTTTTCTCTTCTATACAGAATATGGGTCTTGGAGTTGTTTTTTGTTGCTTTTCTCCCCACATAAATTCTGCTTAACATAGATGTAACACTGATTTTTGCTGACACTAAGAAATACTACGAGTATGGCTACACACTAAGAACATAGGCTTAAAGTTGACTATGACTATATTCATAGAAGAGCTACAAAATTTAGTTCTCACATATAAATGAAAGAATTATATGAAAAAATTATAATTTGAAACATAATTCCACAGAAAAAATCTGATGGGGAGGAGAACATAAATAAGCAATTCAACTTGGCAAACATTTGTTGCATAGTGATTATATGCATGGCACTGTGATAAAGTGCAAGGGAAGATGTAAAAATGAGTAAACCAGTTTATAATATAGTAAAAACATAAATGCATAAATGTAACTAAATACTCTATATAGGATAGGCATTTACCAGTTATCTGAATAGAAGAATGGTACAATCAGATCTATAATTTAAAGACAAAATTATGAAGTGAAAAAGAATGTCACT